GCCCCCGGCGAGGCTAAAGGGAACTGGGGTTTCCCAAGCCCTGTGACTTCCGCTCACGGAGCCTCCCCAAGGGGCCCCGCCGGCCCCGCCCGCCCCGCCCGGCCTTGGAGCGCCTGGGAGGGGCCCAGGGCCTTGCACCCTGGGCCTCGGCCTGCTGTGCGGCCTCCCTCCCTGGAATCTGGTGGGGCAGGGAGGACAGGGCAACGCAGCGCCTGGGGGTGCGCTGTCCAGGGTCCCTGTGCCCGGGCCCCCAGGGGCAGGACGCTTCCCCATTTCAGAGACGGAAACGCCGCGGTCTCCTTCCCAGAACCCTGATGGCGAAACTTGTCCCAGCAGGCCCTGGGCCCCGCTGCGACCCGACCCTGGAGGAAGGAAGGGGTGCTGGGGCCGCTGGGCGTGGGGGGAGGAAGGGCGCCCTCAGGCGTGGGCTGAGCTGGGCCCGTGGGCCGGGCCGGGACTAAACTCTGGAAAGGAGCCCACTGGGCCGGCAGGGAAGGACCCCCACTTCCACACTGCCCGTGTGTCACCGGGTGTTTTCTGTTCTTTCACAAACACGGCTACAGGCTAGTTAAGCTTGGGCCCCCAACACCCAGACCCCGCCTTCCGAGGTTAGAAAGACGGGTGTGGCAGGGTGGGCCCGTGGGCAAGGCCATGCCGGCCAGGCCACGAGGGCAGTGGCAGGGCCTGGGGCCCCTGGAGCTGTATCCCCGTGGGAGTTGCTGTGGGACCGCACGAGCCCCTGGCCTGGGCACGCTTGGGAGCTGGGCAGCACAGCCTTCCTGTGAGGCCGACGCCCCAGGGTGCCGAGAGAGAGGGGCCGAGAGCCCCCTGGCTGGACGGGGCCTCACAGGCTGGGGGAGCAGCGGTCCCCAGAGTCATGCCAGTAGCCAAGGCAGGTGACCAGCACAGCCCTGCAGGGTGATTGGCCTCCACTGTGGCGTGGCCATGGCCGCCTTCAGAGAGGCCACAGGGAAGGGAGGGGAGCCCAGCTGCAAGAGAAAGGCGGGGGCAGGCCTGGCCACTGGGGTACTCCTGCTGGACGGGCCGGCAGAGCTGGGTGTGGGGACCAAGGGTTCAGTGGGAGGGTCCTGGCACGGGCAGTCTGGGGCGGGGCCACCCCCAGGGCCCTCTCCAGTGACTGCCCAGCCGGGCCGAGTCCCTGAAGCAGGCGGAGCTGAGGGGACACTGGGGCAGCAGCTAGCAGGGCCCCCCAGGGGCTGCCGCCAGGCTCCCGGGCCCGAGGACTGGGGTGTGGCCGCAGCACCCCAGTCAGGCCCGCACTACGCTGGCAGCCCCTCCGGGCCCCTGCGGGCACTGGTCACACGCGCAGTTGTGCGCCCCTTGCCCGCAGTGGTCGGAGCTGCCCACAGGACGCAGCCTGGACTCCGGCGGAGGCCGGGCACTGCGGGGGGAGAGCGGGCGCCCCGGCCCAGAAAGAAGCAGCACGGCAGAGCCCTCACGGCAAACTGCTTTATTACGTCGTAAATACAGTGCGGGCGGGCAGCTGCTGCCTCGCGTCCGGGCCCTCGCGCACACTGACCAGCACTGACTTGGAAATGAG